CCCCCCCCCCTTAAGAAATTTTTTTAGAAACATGGTTTGTACACCCAACTGCACCTCACCTCCGACAACTTAAGAAATAAGATGTTTTTACGTTTTCTCCACAAAATATGTTTGAGAAATACCAAATCAATCCTATTTTTTTTTAACCTTTTCAGACTCTCTCAAATCTCTTGAGGCTGGCGCCACCACCGTCTATCGTGGGTATAAATTTGATTATTACGCACCAATAGGTGTCAAATGATTGGCCAGAATTATTTCATCATAATCTCTCGCTTCCTGTGTAAAATTAACACAAATATTTAACCCCACGTTTTGTCTCTGTGACTTACCAACCACACAGGGCATGAGAGAAGGTTTAACGTAAAATGTGGTAAACAATTTATTAAAGGGGTAGATGCGCCATTTTTTTTTACCAATCGCACATATGTCTCAAAAACGGGAATTTTTAGCTAAGCCTACAGTAATAGTATTCACAGCTCACCGTCGAGATTTGAGCCTTCACATCCATGTGTGTTCAGAATTATCCGCGTTTGAAGGTTAAAAAGACGAGTCGTCTTTTTTGAGACACTGTCATTATTATATAGAAAAGACATCTATGGAAACAGGAATAGAAATTCCTAGTTTGAGCTATTTTTGAAGTTCTAGAACTTCTGAAGACTATAAACTACCCAAAATGGCGCACCTACCCCTTTAAGCGAGGCCTAAGGTAAGTTAGTACCTTGTACCGATTCCCCTGTTCAACAGAGCGTTGTGTTGTTCCGTCTATATTATCCCAGGGTTCATACAGCACTTTGCCTCAAAAATTCAAAGACTTTTCAAGGACTCTGGGCTTCGAAATTCAAGGACTTTTCAAGGATATTAGTCTGACAGAATACATATGTACCTAACTTCTGAACTGTGAAATCAATAAAGATAGTTTATATTTGTCAATGGGGTTAATGATAAAAATACACACAATTTGACTCAACTCAAAATTCAAGGACTTTTCAAGAGAAAATGGGTTTTTTTATGGTGTTTTCATAGACTTTTTTTGAAATCAAGGTTTTTCAAGGCAACAGACGGAATTCAGGGGTTTTTCAAGGCTGTGCGAACCCTGTATCCCATCTTCGACAGTAAAAAGGATATTCCGAAACATTTGCCTATATTCCAGCCTCTGATAGATCAGAAAACCTTGGCCATATACCAGTCGACAAGTTTCGAAATAGCTATCAGAGGCAGATGTTTCGGTCTATAAAGATTATCGCAAAACTCCACATATAAAAATGATTTCAAGAAAGTAAAAGATGATCAGGTTTTTGGGTCTCTTTCATCGCTTTTATCAAATGCCGGTGACGTCATATTTTCGGATGACATCGAACCTTTTCTAAAAACTTGAAATATTGTCGATGATTTTTTATTAAATTTCAGACGAGACTGACGAGCGGATTTTCATTTTGAAGAGAGATGGATAAATTTGAGGTCTTTCGACTGTCAAACTTGCATATATATCGACAATTATTTCCTTCTATATGCGTCGTTATTGGTTAAAATGTGAATTAAGGACTTCGACACATTTCCTGTTTTTCTGAAGAGGGCACCCACCTCCTCTCAAATTATCAATTTGGAAAATTGGGCTCACATACATCATAAATGGAGGTGTTTACGTTCAAATTTTAACATAGTGTGTTTAATTTAAAATGTCCTGTGTAATTTCCCCTCAGAATTAACCCCAATTAGCTGCCGGTATTAACCCTAATTTACCCTAGAAATTCATTATATAAAACAATAGGCAGGGCTAGTTCTGCCATTAATGTGACTAAACATTACAAGTGAACTTTAGTTATTTGGGATTTCGTTCACCTCTACGATGGCTTTGAATTGGAAAATTATTGCTGTGATATTTTGTATGTGTGTCGTCATTTCCGCCGTGTCCATAGGTAAGTGGTCTTAATATATTGAGTTTTGGTAAAGGCGACAGTTTGGGAAAGTGGTGGCTTAACGGAACAAATGCACATTTGAAAAAGATTAACGATATTACCACTGACATGGCAAAATTTACACACTGTACACTTCATGGCTTTGTATTTATTTAACAGGGCGACACGCTCGGGAAATTCGGCCGTAGCCTATTTTAACGCTCGCAGTTAGCAGTGGTCCACTGTTCAATTAGCATGACACAAAAGTCCTGGAAACGCACACACGAAATCCTCCATAGCGAATGATAGATTTCAGGACGCCCTGCTCTACTTATTAGTATAATGTGAACGACCGACTGTGGTATTTGCTATGCTTCCTAGTGTGAACGAACCCTAAAGCAAGGTTGAACTCGGCGCCTACGTTCCCTTTTTACACTGACTGGGGTGGGGTGAGAAATAAAGGTCGAGGTATCTTGGTAAGTGTCACAACTTTAAAAAACGGCGTGCATTTACCTTATATGGGAATGCAGCCACGCCTACTAATTTCGATAACAAAATTTACTATACAAAACGACGATAAAATCATAACAAATGAAATTAATTGAACATCACTGGGCATCAATAAATCTATATGAATTTTTTCAACTGATATATTTATAACTAAAATTAACTTACTTCAGTTTTCTTTGCCGTCGTCATAACAAATACGCCAAGCTCTTCACCATTTTGAAGTTCAAAATATAACCAATGAAACAAAGCGGATTGAGAGAGAAATTCGGAAAAACTTGGGACAAGATTAAATATTACGGACGGGATTTTGATTTTGGATAACTGCATCTTCTTTTTTTTTTTAGCTCTCTGGTAAACAGGATCCCAGAGAACTTAATTTCCGAAGATATTCTTTTTAGAATCGCATTCTGCAAATCATTTTTGTGAGTCTTGGGTTATTTTGAGGTTGATGAAAATGCCAACCAATAAAAAGATAGTGGACCACAGCCATATAACGCCCACCACAGCATGCGGATGGTAAAAACGAAACATCCATTTTAAGTCTCATCAAAATCAGTTGAAAACTAAGAGAGTAATAGAATATTCAAGATTTTGGTGCAAGGGCAATAACTCTGCTTCTAAGGGGTCGAAATTCGAATTTCATTTAATTCCATCAAAAAATCTAGTTTTTAGAGCGTTTACAAGCAAATGTTGACGGATGGATCGACGGACAGACAGGGGTGCCGACAATATACGTCCACATAGAGAGATGTGGGCGTATAAAAATACTATTTGGAAATATGAATTTACAAAAGCGAATTTTTTGTACGAAATGTGGGTTACCTTCACGTATAATTTCTGGGAGGGAAGTGTTTCAGATAAAATAAAATTCTGACATCACTTTACTGGAGAGTAAGTTGTTATCATTTTGAAATATGGGTGTTTCTTTTTTTTCTCTTGGGCTATTTGCAAATCTTTTGAATCAATATTTTGTCAATTTCAGAAAAGAGAGAGTCTACTTATGAAGGACTTTTAAATAGCAGGTAACTGAAATATTCTTATTCTAATTCGCGGGTAGGTCATTCTCCATTTTGATTTCAGTGGCTCAACTATACCATTGGTATTGGTTGAACCAACTTCACGCCCCCATCCCAGAAAAATATTAACAGGCATTAAATTGACTTACAGAGGGGTCTCAGAATGCAAGTGAGTGAGTGACCGATCAAGAAATATCAAATAGTATTTTTTTGTTTATCCAGACTGTATATTCATGGTCATTTATGATTGGTTAAACTCTTTATTATATGCAATAAGAACATAATGATATGATTAAGAATACATGATAATTCATTAAAAATACCTATTAATCAAATAGTTTGCTTAATTTGACTCAAAACCAAGGAAACCAATCTTAAATATCCGAAAATATTGAATTTAACGTATACCAAGTTTCATTGCTGTGGAATAACTCCAGTCAGCATATATGAATTCTCCCCTTCAGACTTCACCAATAGTCCATGCACCACACACCTCTCCCGCCCAATCGTATAATAAATATGTACGACTATTTCTTATTTAATTATACTATTATATTCTTTAATTATAGATCAGCGGCGAGGAGAGGGTTGTTTTGTTCTGGTCATAAAGAATCGTGTGGGATCTTCACATGGTGCTGTGACAATCTGTATTGTCACGAACCAATGAAAATAAATGGCGGCCAGTGTAGATACGAGGACTAAAGCCAGTTATTTCAAGTAAAATGGACACAACACTACCGAATCAAGAATATATGATAAACATGTCCCGAATGTGATCTTTCTATTTATAACCCTTTAAAATAAACTAGTTACAGCCTATTAGAATTTTGAATTTTTTTTAGTCATCCTCACCGTTCCTGCGTAATTCAATACACAGCTACGTTGGGGTAGGTCGAGGTTCAATGCACGTTCAAGAGAAAATGAAGTTCTGTTTTCTGATTCAGAAATTGGCCAAGCACTTGACTTCAATAGTTCAAGATAGGAGCCCCCCACACCCTACCCCTTCTGGCAAACCAAGTTGTAGAATATGAACCAGGCATTAGAGCAGTTGTTCCTCAATCGCGGTCCATGCACCCCTAGGATGAATTCGAAATTCTTAAACTTCAAAATAACTTATCAGCTGATCTTTTCCACAGAACAGAGAACCAGTTTATGTGGCTAATTGACGAAGGAGTGATCAGCTGTGAATACTATTACTGATTGGCTCAGCTAAATAATTCCCGAGACTTGCCTAGAACTCTTACAAATAAAATCTTGAAAATGAAATCGTTCATAACAAAATCTAACTTAAAGCCTACAAATTTAATTGCACAAAATTGTTGATTTTTGCTCAGCAAAAAGAGATACACACGTACGATCAAGTAATTTCCAACAAACCATGACTCTATGGTTTTGAATGTGCCGACTGATTAGATGATGAGCGATCAGTGTCAATCAGGATGACATGGACTCAGTTGATGAAAACAAAACGTTGATTGGATAGGTCTAAGCCAGAATTTGGACCAATGAAATTTTCTTTCGCATAGTACTTCGTATCGTTTTGGATTTTACTCAATTATAATTATTCTTAAATATGTACGTTCAAAATGGCGGCAGAATTAAGCGTCCTTAGAGATCTTCAAGCTCGGATAAAAAATGCCAAAATTCCACATGAAAAACTTTCAACTCTGGCCTTGCAGGGAGACGAAGAGGTTGTCTTTAATAAATAATTCTGTAGAATAGGGGGTGATGGTTTGTCTGTGCTGTGGCTCTGGCTTTGACGAACAAGAGCTTGAATGATTCAAAAGTCAGTCACCGGCTTGGTTGAACCGCAAAGAACCACAATCATTCAGATTAACAAGCACAATTTATTAATACCTTCATTGAATTTTAACCAAATTTGTTTCAGCTTGTGAGAGAATTTTTAACTGAATCGGTGAAAATAGATGGCAATGGACCAACATCATTAAACAGTCAACTTTATATAGGTTGGTAGCATGGTTGAGATAGAAGCCTCACCTCACAGGTCGAAAGTGCTGACATGGAAAATGCATCTAGTGGTTCGAATGCAGACCTGAAGCCAAACTTGATTGTTTGGAGGGGCAATTAATATATCCGGAAGAGCAATATTGAATTGGACTGTTGACAAAGAGGCAACTTGCCCCCCTGTACTGCTGTAGCTACCGGCCTGTTCGAATGGAACAATAAACCAAAGCATTGAGTCCTATAGGCTGATGCTGTGCATATGAAATATACCTCGACAGTTGGAAATCTTGAAACAGTAGGCTATTGCAAGATGTAAAACTCTATTTCATTGTATTAACCAACTTCATGGTTAAATTTAAAAGAAAAATGCAGAACTTTATCATTGTGACTGTCATTTGTTGAATTTATTTTGATATTTTTCAGCCTGTTTTTGGGGATTGAAAGATATTGTTGAAAAAATACTACAATTTGATATCGGTAAGTCAATGCTTTGTCAACCAACTTTTTAGGGTGAGCGCAGATGTGTGTTTGAAAATACAGTTAACGTTATTGAAATATTCTTTGTGAAACAGTCTTTGAGTTTAATAAAAATATATCTTGTATTTCTTTTGAGAAAGTCCTGTCATTTCAATAGTCTAAATTCAAGACAAAATGTTTTTCAAAAACAATTGCGATGGACAACTGTACTGAAAGGAGGCAGTGTCTATTTGTCACACCTGATTACAAAAAAAAAAATTCAGTAAACATCTATAATATCTATTGCTTTGACAAACTGCTTTGCTGCCTCAACACTATTAAGTTCTCTGAAGTTTTTTTTATAACTAAATGAAGCCAGGTGTAAACTGATCTATTTTAGATTGTAATCTGCAGAATCCAGCATCAAGATGGACCCCACTTCATGCTGCCACATTTCAAGAAACAGGACCTGTAAGTTTTTATGACTTTTGTAGAGATTGGTTAATGATAATTCTTGGGAAGAATACAATGATTTGAGTGTGAAAAAAACATTGAAGAATTCTTCAGTGTTTACGCAGAAATGTTAATGAACAGGGACAAGGTTGCAATACATGCGTGCATTCTAAATCTGACACCTATAAAACTGAAATTTAAAGATGTTTGTCAATTTTTCTGTAGATTGTGATGCTGTTGTTACAAAATGGCGCTGATCCCAATCTAGAAGATACAGAGGGAAGGTATTTATTTTTATTTTTAAAACAAACATTTCGGTTCAGTGCCCTGCAAAGTTGTTTATTACGATTGTTATGAATCCAAAAGACGTAACATTATTAACATTATTCTCTCATCTCTAGTAGAGATGCCATAACAGAGATGGAAATTGCTAAGTTAAAGATGGGCTTCCTTAATTTTTTAGTGTCAAATTAAGCAAAGTATTAGATAAATTGATGTTTCTAATGAAGTATCATGTATTCTTAATCACATCATTATGTTCTAATATTAAGAGTTTGAACCAATCATAAATGTCCATGAGTCTGGATAAACAAAGAAAAATACTTTTTGACCTTTCTAGATCGGTCACTCATTGGAATTCTGCTGGTAATTCTCTTCTAATTTAGCTAATTATGAATTAATTATGGACATGTGAGACAAACTGGTATTTTTCCGAGTCATTAGAACACCTCTACTTGCTATTCATATAGGTATTAGCATTTTCATTTTCATAAATGAAAATAAGGGAACCCATCTTTAATAACGTTCTTATGGCAAGATTTACACCATTGTACACGGCTAAACTTCTTGATTTATAAACTTTATGTACCAATACCTTGCATAAATGGGTTTATATGAACTTTTGATTTTAATTCTGTTTTTCAGAACACCAAAAGACTTTGCGTCTGCCTCTGATAAAATATGGCCACATTTTGCCATGTTGGGTTTAAAACGAACATCCAGGATAGAACTTTACGAGAAAAAAGTTCTTAAAAGAGTATGTTTATTGCCATTCTTTGACCTCAACTGTTAGAATTATTAATATTTTGATGACAAGCAATGTCAGAGTTACTGGCCTTGAACGAATCCAAAGGCCTTTTTTCGCACTTAAATTTGATTCGATTACCCTAATCAGAACGACGTCACAAATCGAATCTGATTTATACTGCAGGATAAATGAACATTATTCTATTTATAGTTTCCAAGATGGCGGTAAGGCAGGAAGAAATTACCCTGCACGTAATGGTTTTGACATTTTGGACGCCATTACTAAGAGCTACGACGCTCAAAGGTTGATTTACTTGATTAACGTAAATCGATTTGATTCGCTGCTACAATAAATGCACTGATTATCAGCACTAATAGCCATCATTATCAGATTTTGATGAATATTGACCATGGCCTAGATAAGTTTGAAATTGACAATAATTTGACAGGCAGTCTATGAATTACTTCCCTTTATACAATGATTGAAAGTATCAGATCATATTTTTGAATTTTAGGGTGCATCTGGTAACCAAAGAAACCGAGAATTTACCAATAGCATTAAAATGGTGAGTAAATGAAATAAATTTAAATTGTCCAGTCCCCCCCCCCCCAAAAATACCTTATCTATACTTTATACATCAGGATGTACTCAATGCAATGCTTTTGCAAAGAGGTTTTGCATTTTGATTGTACAAGAACTAGAAAATATTGTGTCCATACCCAAAAAAGAAAATAACAAAATTTTAAAAAAAGTACCAATAAAAAGTCAACACGCAATATCTAACTATCCAACAATTTTAGATTAATGGTGAGAACTTGTTTTGGTAGAAATATTTTAGTTGTAACCAAACTGTTGTTCTTTCAGAGTTCGTCAAATCGTCCAGAATCACCATATGCTATAAACAGTGATCCATTTGTAGCTGCAGCAGCTACGGGAGATGTTCTAGCTGATGTTGACAATCATCAAGACCGGTCAACAAAACCAAACTTTAATATGTGGAAATAAGTTAAGGGGAGGAGCTTAGCCTGGGTCAGGGTCAAAGAAATTGTGCCAGTCATTATTTTGGGGAGGAGCCAATACAGTATATGCCAATCAATTGAACCTCCCTCAACTGCTAATTGAACTCATCCGCACATGTATTTCATCATCAAAGTCAGGCAAAGAAATTTATGGGAATCATTTCCAAAAGAGCAGTTTATTTTAATCCAGGTAGAACATGTGTATAAAAAATATCTTTGTCTTACCTGAGACCTGTTTTTCTGACTCTTGCAGGCCAGCATCCGTCACAAAGATGTACCAATATCTATATTTCAATTGCATTTTCCTTGCCAAAATTTTTTTTCCCAAAAGTGCCAATTTTAAAACTTTTTGCCACATGGTATATACATTATTTTTTTTTTAAATTTTGTTATTTTTATTGAACCAATAAATTAATTTTTGTATTTCAAATTCTAATATTTTGCTAAGGAAAGATGGACTCCACAATATGATTATCTTCATTTGGCCAATCAAGAACAAAAATGGCACATATTGTGCAGTAATCCCCATCGACCATGATGACAATCCCCAAAGACTAAGAAGATAACTGAAAGGGGTTGTAAAGTGAGCAATAAAAAAAAAAGATAGTGGACCACAGCCATATACGCCCACCATGCGGATGATAAATATTCAAGATTTTGGGGCAAGGGCAATAACTCTGCTTCTAACGGTCGAAAATAGCTCAAATTCGAACTTGATCTTCGTTCTATGAATATGTATACACATACCGAATCTCATTTGATTCCATCAAAAAATCTAGTTTTTAGAGCGTTTACAAGCAAATGTTGATGGACCGATGGACGGACAGGGGTGCGGACAATATACGTCCACATACAGAGATGTGGGCGTATAAAAATGAATAAATAAATTACTATTTATTAAATAAATATATAATTATAGAAATAATAAATTATATTATTATAAAATTTGCTATTAATATCTTAAAGCCTTTTGCAATTATAGCTATTGGCATTAATGACAAATAAATGCTCTGCTATCAGTGTCTCTGATACACATGAAATTTAAAACAAAATCATTAAAATCCCCTAAATCTGAAGGCATATAGCTCTCTGAATATTTGTACTTCACTATAACTGATATTCAAATTTCAGATATTTGTATAGTCCTCTAAAATCAACTTTACCAGCTGATAGAACTCAATTTTAGCTTGATTTAGCAGCTGATAGCGCTCAATTTCAGCTATTTGTATAGTCCTCTAAAATCAACTTTACCAGCTGATAGAACTAAATTTCAGATATTTGTATAGTCCTCTAAAATCAACTTTACCAGCTGATAGAACTCAATTTCAGCTATTTGTAGAGTCCTCTAAAATCAACTTTACCAGCTGATAGAACTCAATTTTAGCTATTTGTATAGTCCTCTAAAATCAACTTTACCAGCTGATAGAACTCAATTTTAGCTATTTGTAGAGTCCTCTAAAATCAACTTTACCAGCTGATAGAACTCAATTTTAGCTTGATTTAGCAGCTGATAGCGCTCAATTTCAGCTATTTGTATAGTCCTCTAAAATCAACTTAATAGAGCTTAATCTAATCTAATTAGTTACTTAACCATCTTATTTCAGCTATCTGTTTAGTCATCTAATTAGTAAGTTACTTTACCAGCTGATAAAGCTTAATTTCAGCTATCTTTACATAGTGAGAAATTGGACATTTTCAAATTTAGTAACTACCCGAATATGAGAACAAATGCAAGTTTCTGTAAGTCATTACAAAAATCTTATGTAAAATCAGCTTCCATCAAAGAAATAAATAAACAAGATTCATATTCATTCATTCATTAAACCCATTTTTCTCTCATTCACTCAATTCTCCAATAAATAATTCATTCATTCTTCCAATCAACAATAAATAACTTTTACATCAAACCACAAACCTACTTTTTGACCATTTGTTTGGTCAGTGACAGGTGTTGCAGACCATGCTTACTCTTTTTGAAACACCTGATGGTATTTCTCTTTGGAGGAGTTCACAACTATACAACTAATACTCCCAATTTTGTCATTTTTTGGATGAGATCTTTGATTAACGATATTGTCTTGCATGTACAGATTTTTATTTTATCAGTTTGTTAAAATTTGATACACCACCCTTTATCACATAACATTCCATCCTGTTTTATTTTCAGGGATAGTAGAATTTTAAAAACCTGAAATAACACAATTTCTCACATTAAATAACATGAAAATGAAATAAATGGAGTTTTACGTCTTACTTTTCTGCACCATGTGGGCTAATGAAGACAGGCAACGCCATGCAGGGTACAATGAGGAAAATTTTGTCAGGACAGCGGCATTAGCTTACTCTTTTTCAATTTCCAACTGTTGTGTGATCTTAAACGTTCACAGCCTGTAGCACACGGGGTCTCATCCGAACAATTAAAAGCTTTTTCCGTGTAAGCCCGTCTTACCTGTATCACTGACAGAGGGAAAAGGTATCCAAAGGTATCATCTCGACCTATGCCGGGATTGAACCGTGGACCTTCAGGTTAGTGAGCCACCACAGCTCCCTTGTTACATTATATGGATAGTCAGTTGATAGAAGTCAATTTCAGCTATCTGTTATGTTGTTACAAGCTGATCAAGCTTAAAAATTCAGCTATCTGTATAGCCTTCTAAAAATCTACTTAACAAGCTGATAGAGCTCAAAGTCAGCTTTCTCTTTAATGTTCTAAATATCTACTTTATAAGCCGATAAAGCTCAAAGTCAGCTATCTGTATAGCTTTCTAAACATCTCCTTAACAAGCTGATAAAGCTCAAAGTCAGCTTTCTCTTTAATGTTCTAAATATCTACTTTATAAGCCGATAAAGCTTAAGTCAGCTTTCTCTTCAGCCTTCTAAAATCTACTGATAAACTCAAATTCAGTTATCTGTTTAGTTGTTTAAATATTTACTTAACAACCTGATAAAGCTCAAAGTTAGCTTTCTGTTTAGATGTCTGAATATTTACTTTACAAGCTAATAAAGCTCAAAGTCAGCTTTCTGTTTAGTTGTCTAAATATTTACTTTACAAGCTAATAAAGCTCAAAGTCAGCTTTCTGTTTAGTTGTCTAAATATTTACTTTACAAGCTGATAAAGCTCAAAGTCAGCTTTCTGTTTAGTTGTCTAAATATTTACTTAACAAGCTGATAAAGCTCAAAGTTAGCTTTCTGTTTAGTTGTCTAAATATTTACTTTACAAGCTAATAAAGCTCAAAGTCAGCTTTCTGTTTAGTTGTCTAAATATTTACTTTACAAGCTGATAAAGCTCAAAGTCAGCTATGATATCATGTTAATATTTACCGGTGCTTTATTAGACTGATAGAGTCCAATTTCAGCTTTGAGTATCGTAGATAGAGCTCTATTTCAGATATCTGTACAGTCACCTTAATATTTATTTTGTCAGTTGATAGAGCTCTATTTCAGCTATGTGTACAGTCGTCAAATTAATTGGCACACCACAACATCTGTTGACATTATAACATCATTCTCTGTTTCTCCTTTAAGGCTAATGAAAATGAAATGAGTGGAGTTTTACGTCCTACTTTTCTGCACCTTAAGGGCTTATGAAGACGAGCAACGCCACGCAGGGTGCCATGAGGGAAATTTTGCCAGGACAGCGGCATTAGCCTGCTCTTTTTCGATTTCCAACTGTCGAGGGATTTTTAACGTGCACAGTCTGTAGCACACGGGGCCTCGGTTTTTTGTCCCATCCGAACGACTAGACGCTTTTTCCATGTCAGCCCCTCTTACCTGCATCACTGACAGGGGGAAACCGGGTTGAAAAATCCGAAGGTATTATCTCGACCTATGCCAGGATTGAACCCTGGACCTTCAGGTTAGTGAGCAAACGTCTAACTCACTGAGCCACCGCGGCTCCCAGGCATAGTACAGAGGGAAGGAAGTAATATATGGGAAAACTCACTGAGCCACTGCGGTTCCTAAGGCTAATGGAGGGATTAATCCTAGCTGAAAATTTCATAAATAACAATCCAATTTTTAAAAAAATCCACCTACCGTAACTCTGCTTTTAGACTTATATAGATATATCTCTAACACTGATAATAATTTCTGTCACTAATTTCAATTTGGTAAAGAATTTATTTCTAGACCAATATCAATGACCCTTCATCAAGGGTGAAACATCAAAACTAGCTTAAGCGCCTTTGAAAGATCATATGACTATATACTTACCACCATATTGTTTCCTGAGGACCAACATTTGCTGGCATTTTATCTGGCCGTTTTCCTATATTGACTGATACATTTGTATATAGATATTCCTCAGTTATCTTATACACTGAATAGTTCATACCAAGTATATCATTTAAACCATCATGAGGCCAGCGACCCCGCCAACCAAAAAATAAATCATTTCTGAAATAGAAAAAAAAACATGTTTTGGCTATAGAATAACTTTAACTAACTGACAGTGTTATTTATTTATTTTTTTGCCAGTCTGACATTTTTCACTGAACTGTTAAATTTGATCTCAATTTCAACTCATGATGTTTGGCAAAAGAAAGGTAAACTGTGTCATCTAACCAACAGTTCTACTTTATCACTAATTATAATTACTCTGCCAGGCTAAAGAATGTTTAAAGTTTTGAAAAAATATTGGGTCACCTTGTCCTTTGAATCTGTGCAGTGAAAATTTGAGAGCGTAAATGTGGTAAAAATGTAGATCCATCAAAATTTCACATGTGCATGTCTTGCAATCTCTAGCAGTTAGTCCATAGCAGAGGAGTTGTAGGTAAGCCTGTTCCCAAATCCCTTTCATTTTGCAATCAAATAAAATATCATTTAAAAAAATAAGGCAATTTACCTACAGGCATAGATAACAATGACAGACATATACATGTAATTAAAAATGAAAAACTAACCCATGCTCTGAGCGAGATAATTTAGCATGTCGTACCATTTTAAATCTGCCGATATGTTCTGGTGGTCGAGTTATCAAGAGCCCTGATTCCTGGATTCTAGGAGAAAAAATAGGGAAGATCATGTAAATATTTGTTTGTTTTATATCGATCTCAATTTCATCTTTCGGCATCATATAACCCTGAACTCATATACATATAACTCTGAACTCATATACATATAACTCTGAACTCATATACATATAACTCTGAACTCATATACATATAACTCTGAACTTATATACATATAACTCTGAACTCATATACATACATCCCTGAACTCATATACATATAACCCTGAACTCATATACATATAACTCTGAACTCATATACATATAACCCTGAACTCATATACATATAACTCTGAACTCATATACATATAACTCTGAACTCACATACATATAACTCTGAACTCATATACATATAACTCTGAACTCATATACATATAACTCTGAACTTATATACATATAACTCTGAACTCATATACATACAACCCTGAACTCATATACATATAACCCTGAACTCATATACATATAACTCTGAACTCATATACATATAACTCTGAACTCACATACATACAACCCTGAACTCATATACATATAACCCTGAACTCATATACATATAACTCTGAACTCACATACATATAACTCTGAACTCATATACATATAACTCTGAACTCATATACATATAACTCTGAACTTATATACATATAACTCTGAACTCATATACATACAACCCTGAACTCATATACATATAACCCTGAACTCATATACATATAACTCTGAACTCATATACATATAACCCTGAACTCATATACATATAACCCTGAACTCATATACATATAACCCTGAACACATATACATGTGACTCTGAACTCATATACATATAACCCTGAACTCATATACATGTGACTATGAACTCATATACATATAACTCTGAGCTCATATACATATAACTCTGAACTCATATACATATAACCCTGAACACATATACATATAACTCTGAACTCATATATATATAACTCTGAACTCATATACATATAACTCTGAACTCATATACATAAAACTTAAAACATGATATTAAAGGGATTATAAAAAGTTTCCTAAATTTTTTATGAGTATCGGGGGACACATTATCACTTTGCACAAATCAAATTTTCAGTCAGACGTCTGTCGTTCCTGCAATTCCACAAAAAATTTGTGTTTAATGATGTCACTAATTCAATTGCAGAATATGCTTATTTTCGATTAGTGACTTCATCAATCCCTTAGTTTTAGTGGAATTGCAGAAACCACAGATGTCTGATTGAAAGTTGGAATGGTGTCAATTGATGCTATATCAGTGTCCACGTTTCACCAAAAAAATGTAGAAAACTTCTTTACAATTGAATGTTACATAAGGATCTCCTCCACATAATTATGTGGCTGGTAAAGGAATACACGAGTTACCTACCTTGCCGATAGGTCATCATCCTCATTGCCCCACCCCCAATAAGAATTTGAATAACCGTTAATACGCTGGTAGTTATCTCTATTTATAGCTATGACTCCTCCCGCGTAGTTGTAATACATTACACTGTAAAACAAAGAACTTGGTATAGCAAAATTGGTACTGCCTTAGATTGTCGTCTGCATGTACAGTGAAATCAGTTATAAGCTGAATTATCATATGCTCTGACAATGGTGTTGGATTTTCACCTGCAGTGGGACTGGGATAGCTCAGTCAGAATGTAGTAGTATTAGTGTCTGCTAGCACAGTGGGACTGGGATAGCTCAGTTGGTAGTTAGTACTATTAGTGTCTGCTAGCACAGTGAGATAGCTCAGTAAGTAGGGAGTTGGATTGTCATTTGCTAGGACAGTGGGACTGGGATAGCTCAGTCAGTAATATTAGTGTCTGCTAGCACAGTGAGATAGCTCAGTCAGTAGGGAGTTGGTTTGTCATCTGCTAGGACAGTGGGACTGGGAAAGCTCAGTCAGAAGTTAGTAGTATTAGTGTCTGCTAGCACAGTGAGATAGCTCAGGCAGTAGGGAGTTGGATTGTCATCTGCTAGGACAGTGGGACTGGGATAGCTCAGTCAGTAATATTAGTGTCTGCTAGCACAGTGAGATAGCTCAGGCAGTAGGGAGTTGGATTGTCATCTGCTAGGACAGTGGGACTGGGATAGCTCAGTCAGTAATATTAGTGTCTGCTAGCACAGTGAGATAGCTCAGTCAGTAGGGAGTTGGTTTGTCATCTGCTAGGACAGTGGGACTGGGATAGCTCAGTCAGAAGTTAGTAGTATTAGTGTCTGCTAGCACAGTGAGACAGCTCAGTCAGTAGAGAGTTGGATGGTCATCTGCTAGGACAGTGGGACTGGGATAGCTCAGTTGGTAGTTAGTACTATTAGTGTCTGCTAGCACAGTGAGATAGCTCAGTCAGTAGGGAGTTGGATTGCCATCTGCTAGGACAGTGGGATTGCTGATAGTTGAGTCGGTAGTGAGTTGGATTGTCATTTGCTAGTACAATGGTATAGCTCAGTCAGTAGAGATAAGGGTTATTGAAAGTAACAAGTTACTATTCAATAAAAGGCACTGGCACAGGATTAAAGTTTTGTTTACATTATTGTGGTGTTAGTATTTAGTAAACTAAGTAATAGAAATTATATCAACCAGTAGTAGAATTGACTAATCAAAAGCGAGTCGTATTTTTAGCCTTCTAGATGATCAGGAACAGCAAGTTAAATTCATGGCCAAACTTTTTTTCCCTTCGAAGCCAAAATTAAATTTAGATTTCTAAACCTAGGTTTGGAATTTTAAACTGGACTTTTTTTTAAACATCTCATCCTTATAAAGTCACACACTTAGTCACTAGCCGCCACAGATCTCAATGGCCCAGGGGTATAAGGTGTCTACAATACTTACTGATATCTCATCTCATCAATAGCAGATGACAAGTGTCTAGCGTACTGATCACACATGTATAAGTTCTGGTTGTGTTCAGGAAGCAAGTCAGCATCATGGAAAACAAAACAGTCAAATTTATTTTGTTTTAAAGCTTCTAAATATCCAATATTCATCAGTTTTCCTCTGTTAAATTTATCTTTTCCTAGCTAGAAAATATGAAATATAGTTTTATATGGGGGTGCACCAATCTTAAAAACCACCCTAGGGTAGTTCCATGGTTACCAATTAGGACTCTAGTCTTTGAATGGCATTTAGCAATTGTGAGTACGATATATAGACACAGCTTTATGGAACAACAATCACTGGTTAAAGTTTTATGCAACGTTTCGATGTGTTTCCCTCGTTTGCCTGAGGACGATGGGGGAAAAACGTCGAAACTTTGCATAAAACTTTAACCAGTGATTGTTGATCCATAAAGCTGTGTCTATATAATTAGGATTCTAGTTTCCCCTAGTGGAGTACTTCAGAGGCTTTATTGTAAATTTTAGACTTTTTTAGACTATCAGTCTAATTAAAATTAGACCAAACTTTTGTTCCGATTTTTTATTAACTCTTATTTATTTAATATAGCCACTTCAGTTAGGGTCTAATGACAGCCCTCTTGAACGTTCGTCAAATTACCTTTTGACCTAACTCAATGACGTCTGCTTTAACCAATCCAATTTCATCCCTCCCCAGTGCTCGCATTTTGTGATGCTGTGTTTATCAAGTTCGGTCAAAAGGTTAATTTGACGAACTTCAAGAGGACTGTCATTAGACCCAAACTGATGTGGCTATATTAAAAATAAGCAAAAAAAAAACAGAACGAAAGTTTGGTCTAATTTTAATTAGACTGATATAAAATGAGAAACCTTTGGTTATTTGTGCAAACTATTCACAAGTTTTGTTCTCAATATTTTTCTCTTTCATTTGAAATATGGGATAGTCCAAAACTCTTTACTGTGATTAAAGATGGGTTCCCTCAGTTTTATTTATGAAAATGAAAATGCTAATACTTATATGAATAGACAGTAGAAGTGTTCTAATGGAATGGAAAAATACTAGTTTGTCTCACATGTCCATAATTAATGATAATCATAATAATGATTTGATTAAGAATACATGATAATTCATTAGAAACACTAATTAATCAAATAGTTTGCTTAATTTGACACTAAAAATAAGGAAACCCATCTTTAAGACATTTTTGTCAGCAATTTGTACATTTTGCTCAAAACCTTGAGGGTTACATTCCACAGCAGGCTCAAAGGCATCAAATATTTAATTAGTGAGGTTCCAGGCTTCAAAGATTGAAAACAGTGTCCAGGGATTTTGATTTGACCTTACCTGTTCCACCACAAATATCTGGTAATGTATTTTTTGTTTCACCAACATGGAGTGTAGTCTATTTAAAAGTATTTTAAGATGGTGAAGACGGTCGCGATATGGTACTATAACTGCAACTTTCTGCCATGCTGTACACCCATCGGGCTTAAATACCCCTCCTTTCATTACATGCTGGTTCTGTTTTCGAATCACTTCAAACTCTGGAGCTGTGAAAATATCCAACTTGACTAAATCTAAAAGAAAAATTAAAATTCATTGCAAGTTGTTACAGGATTAAGTCACAAAAATCTAATGGTAAGCCAACATAGATGCTGTAAAGGACCATAGCAAAGAATCCTCCATAATAAATTAATCAAAAGCCAGCCTTGAGGGTGTAATTCTCATGGTAAAGAACCATTGTTTAATAATAACAAGCTAATTTAAAAGATGTTCACTTAAAGCTTATAGAGGAAGTTAACTTAAAGGATGTAAAGAGTGAACCCAAACTTAAAGAATAATAGATTGCAGTGAGCCGATCTAGAAAATGTAAAGGATCAAATTCAGACTTACCTAATTGATCTAAATCCACCTTACATTTATCTTTGGCCGTGTTGTCCACACTTAGTATCTGAAGCAACATGGCGGGCGAGGTAAAAATACAATGGCTTCGATAATTAAATAGGGCATACGCGACTAACAGAAACGAAATAAATATCAGCACATTGATAATATAACTTTTACATTTCTTTAATTTACACAACATTTTGGCTGTCTTTTTTTTCCCTCTTCCAATCAGCTACTGAAATGGAAAAACAAAATTGCCATAATTGCACCCAGCATGGTGTTGTCTGTCTTCATTAGCCGATAATAAGGTGGAGAAAAGTAGGACGTATAGTTCGATCCATTTCATTTTCATTTTTATAAAAGATCAACCAATCGAGAAGTTGGTTGAACAAAGACACCAAATAAGGGTTTTACTTGTCGACACTTGCCATGTTTTGCATTTAAATTTGTACTTACTTTGATTCTTAAGATTCTTCAAATCTGTTTCATTGAAAACTCACATATAAATTAAAAATTGCGTATTACTAATGCAAAAAAAACACAAAATTTACATCTTTCTTGTCCATATTTACCAAAACAAAAATTTCGTCGCCATGTTGTTCTAAATATAGACGTCACGTGATACGCTTTGATATTTGTAAACAGGTGTCCATACTTTACAAATGACACAAAACCAACCAAGATTGCGGTATCTTTGAAACGCAAACTTTATTTGAATTAGACAGAATTTTTTGAAAATATCTTCGCTTTCGAAACTTCAGATCTGCGAGCAAAATATTTCCTATGAAAAGAGACAGGTGTCTATATGCAAATTTTGTTCATTAAGGGCAACCTTGAGCAAAATTAATCAAAATTTTACAAATTAATTATTAAATCAAAAAACCTGTTGTTTTTTCAAATAAAAATTATTTATAGGTAATAATAACAGCACAATTCTTCCGTTTCATATTCAAATGAAGTTAAGTTTTGAAAGAGCCACCAGGTACATTAAAGGCACCGACTTAATTAATCGTGGGTGTTTAAATTGCTTTACTAATTACAGCAGGTGCCTTATTATAATTCTGTTTTCATGACTGAAATGATAGAATATGGAAATGAAGGGGATAAAAGGATCTCGTTTGAAGAACGAATCCTCAGTTCCTGGCAGCGTGTTAGAATTACCAGGACTCTTGGAATCGCTGGACTAAAATATCAAGGTAAGATTTACGCTTCTTTCGCATTGGTCAACCCCCCCCCCCCCCTCCCCCCTTTATTTATAAAGCATGCTCTTCCCTTCCCCAACACTCTTTCAAAGGTAGTCACCATTTTCCCAAAAATCTACCATGATGCAGTTTATCAATCCGTCATCCTTTTTTTTGTATGTTATGA